TTTTTATTTCATTAATTTACAATTAATCACTGTACATCTTTACAGTGTACAACATAGTTTTCCTAACATGAATACAGTTCATATTAGTCAACTAAGAAATATTAATATATACATTATCATTAACAGATTTTTCATTTTTGTGTCTCTTAGATGTTTTGACTTTTCCAATTTGCTCCCTCCCACACCCAGTTATCCATCACCTATTACCCATCCTCTTTTATACTGTCTCTTGTATCTACAGGTGCCCTCCCTGCTATTATAGCTTCTAATCTTTCAGTTATGGCTATAGAATGCAGACATTCAGTATATATTAAGTGGGGACATACAATGCCTGTCTTTCATAATCTGGCTTGCCTCACTTAGCATTAAATCTTCCATATTTGTCCATTTTGTAGCAAATGTCAGGATCTCATCATTTTTGCATGGCTGAATAGTATTCCATAGAGTATGTATGCCACATTTTTTCAATCCACTTGTCTAATTTTGGACATCTGGGTTGATTCCATGTCCCAGCAATTGTGAACAATGCTGCAATAAACATGGATGTCCAAGTGTCTTTACAAACTGAGCGTTTTCCTATCCTTTGAGTAGATACCTAAGAGCAGAATTACTAGGTCATATGGTAGTTCTATTTGTAGATTTCTGAGGAACCTCCATACTGTTCTCTACAGTGGCTGTACTAATTTATATTCCCACCAACAGTGTAGGAGGGTTCTCTTTTTATCTCAACCTTGCCAGCACTTACCATTCTTTATTTTTTAAATCTTAGTCATTCTGACTAGGATTAAGTGGCATCTCATTGTGGTTTTGATTTGCAATTCTCTTAAAAGAGATGTTGAACATCTTTTCATATGCTTTTCTTGGATAAAGAAGTATTTAATTTCATGTATTGTTATTATTTTTTAATTCACCACAGAAAGACAGAGAGAAGGAGAAAAAGTGAGAAATCAAGCCACCAGATCTTGGACTTGAACCATGGTAGGCCATGTATGAGTCTAGTGCCTTAACTACCTTACTACTTGCTGGCCCCCTCATATGCTTTTTGGCTTTTCATGTCTTCCTTGGAGAGATGTCTGTTCAGCTCATTTGCCCACCTCTTGATTGGACTGATTTTATTTTCTTGTGGGTAAGCTGCTTGAGTTTCCTGCATATTTTGGTTATTAGTCTCTTATCTGAGGCATAATTTGCAAGCATATTCTCCCATGCTAAGGGTTGTCTCTTCACTCTAGTAATTGTTCCTTTTGCTGTGCTGAAACTTTTTAGCCTGATGCAGTCCCACTTGTCTATTTTCAGGATTATTGTCTGTGCTTTAGGCGGGGAGGGGGGGATCTTATTTAAGAAGTCTTTGCCTTCTCCGATGTCTCCGAGAGTTTCCCCTTTGTTTTCCACCAGTAGTTTTACAGTTTGAGTTTTTATGTTTAGATCCTTGATCCATTTTGAGTTGATTTTTGTTAATGGTGAGAGACAGGGGTCCAGTTTAATTTTTCTGCAGGTGGATATCTAACACCAAAACATCCTTAATGCCTTCTTTTCTCATGACAATAAATCAGACACAAAGCCCTGTCAATTCCTTTTTCCTTTCATTGTTTTTTACATTCTTTTTTTCTATTCATTGTCATCACTCTTAATTTGTGCTCGAACACTTTTTTAGTTTGCTATAGGATGCATATGCTCACCAGATACAGAGATGGAGACAAAGAGAGAGAGAAAGTGAGAAATCCCCCTCCCCCTAACGGGGCTGGCTATGCTATCACTTCTCCATTCTTCTCTCAGGATTTGGGGCACACAAGCACATGCACCTGGCATGACTTTCAAGCTGTTGGTCTGGGATTTGAACTATGAAGCTGGTAATGTGGGAATCCAGCACTTTAACCACCTTGCCACCTGCTGGCCCTCTAACACTCTTACATATAAAATTTTTCAATGTCTTCCTAGTTGGTCTATTGGTCTCATTATCTCTTCTGTCACCCCTTACCCTAAGTTAATCTGAATTAGGTTACCATGTTCATTTTTATCCCATTTGTTGTGAACATCATATCCAAGCTAAAAAAAATGTTAATGGCTCTGATGGTGCAATTATGACATTTTAGCCTATTATAATAAACTCCTAATTATTCTCCATTTCCACTGTTGCCTCTACAATTCATTCTCCACACACAAAAACAAAACAACTTCCCAAAACACAAATCACATCATTCTTACTTTAAATATGTCAGTAGCAATTTAAAATAACATCTAAAATCCTTAACAAGGTCTACAAATCCCCTTGGATGATTTTGTTCCTGCCTACACCTCCAATTTCTACTTTAACCATTCCCTTTTCTTGCTCTCTCCAACACCATTTTCCTCCATGTTCACTGTCCTTACTCAGAGCCTTTGCAGTTATTGTCTCTCCTGTTGGAATGGACGTCTCCTGGATGAATCTTCATTTTACTGGCTTATTTTTATCACTGAGGTCACAACTCAAATGTCACCTATTTATCCCTACAAGTTACCTCCTCAGATCACCTTGTTTACTTCATTCTTGTTGCATATCACAATCTATAATTTTCATTTTATTTAGTTAATTGTATATCTTCCTATTTTGAATATAAACTCTTTGAAAACAGGAATTTGTATTGTTCTGCACTACCCAGTGTCTAGCAGTACTGATTACACATAAAGAGCTTAAACTACACTTCTTCTGTTAAATGAATTATTAGTTTAAATGTAAACTATGAATTTAAATAAGTCTTTCAATGGAATCTAAAAATTAACATAAAAGCCTAAACAGTGACAATGCAAATAAATGCACTCATTGAAAGTGGCCAAAATTTAACTTGCCTAAAAATACATGGTCAAAAATGGGGCAGTAATAAAATTGGCATCACATTTTAAAAGAATTCATGTTCATATGACTATTTTTTTTTTTTTGGAGAGGTTTTTGCTATAGGGTGCGTGCACTCACCAGACAGAGAGAGACATAGAGACAGAAAGCGAGAAATCACCCCCCAGGGGGCATGGTCACGCCGCAATCCCTTCTCCTCCATTCTCCTCTTGGGATCTTGGGCACGCACGCACACGCGCCCAGCGTGACTTTTAAGCCACCGGGTCCAGGACGTGAACTGTGGTTGACTATGTGGGAGTCCAGCGACATAGCCATTACGCTAACTGCTGGTTCCCCATATGACTATTTTTTAAAATGTCCATAGGATCTGTAGTGATGACTTTTCTTTTATCAGTTATTGCGTCCTTTCTCTTTTTTCCTTGGTTATCCTGGATTTTATTGATCTTTTCAAAGAACCAACTTTTGGTTTTATTGATTTTCTCTATTAATTTCCCATGTTCAAATTCACTGATTTCTGCTTTGATTCTTACTAATGTTCTTCTGCTTACTTTAGATTTAATTTGTTCTTCTTCCTTCTGATTTCTGATGGTAAAAACTTAAGACGATTGATTTCTGACCTTTCTTCTTTTGTAATATATGTATTCAATGTCATAAATTTCATCCAAGGACTGCTTTTGCTGCATCCCGTATATTTTTATAAGCTGTGTCTTTATTTTTATTTAGTTCAAAATATTAATTTCTCTTGAGAATTCTTATTTGACCCATGTGTTATTTAGAAGTGTTTTATTTAATCTACAAGTACATAGGGATTTTCCAACTAACCTTGTGTTACTGATTTCTAATTTAATTCCTTTGTGGTCTAAGAATAGACATAAAGATTTCTATTGTTTTAAATTTGTGTCTTTTTATTAAGACAGTTTAATTAGGTTTTCTATTACTTAGGTTTAAATAACTGAATAACACAAATCTGAAGTGGTCATTAATATTTGATACCTCCGCTATATGTTTCTGTCACTGCTTTCTGTACAGGGGCCAGATGGTGGTACAGCAGTAAAACATGATGTTCTGAGAGGGTTGCTGCAAGGATTACGAAAGCCATTAGGCATTTAAAGCACTTGGCACAATATCTAAAATACAGTTAAGCACTGAACATAACTATGAGTATAATATAAAAATAATCTCTCTGACACTACAGCTCTTTAACAAACTCCTAGATACTACTGTTCTTTTTCTTTTTAGAGAGATTTTTGTAATAGGGAGTATGCACTTCCCAGAGAGACAGACAGAAAGTAAGAACTCACTCTCCCCAGAGGGCGGCCAAGCTGGGATTTCAAAGCGCACCTACCCTACCTCAGTTTCCAGCAGCAGCATCCAGGACTCAAACCTTGGACAGCACCGTGGAGGTTCAGAGCTTTAACCACCACGCCACCTGCTGGACCCAACCACTGTTATGTTTTCAAAGACTAACAAGTGTCACTATACTGTGAAATATTTCTACAACATTATAAAAGTGAATTCTGAACACCATGAACGTTTCAAAGAAACGTTCTTTTTCTCGAGCAGGGCAGTACTGGATAATCTGGAGAGAAAGCGATCTGCGCCTCTGCACTGCATGTTAATTAAGAGTGAAAGTCTGTGACGACTTGAGCCTTACTTAGAAAGTGTGCAAACCCTATCTTTTAACACGGCCACCCAGTGCTGTTCACTCACATCTCACTGCCTTCTGCTTACGCCTAGAGAGCGCGCGGGCTCTGCCTAAGCCCCAAGTGTTCCTACGCTAATGCTACAGGATGCACACATTTCGCCCTGGCCTAGCAGCGGGCAGTCGGCTAGGGTGTCCGATCAATCGCGAGCAAACGCACCCCACCACGCCCCAGGTCTCCCCCCGGCCGCGGCCCGCAAACCAGGCTGGTACCTCCTTCAGACAACCATAGCTTTAACCCGTAAAATGAACCCGGCCCTAAAGGCTTTTCCCGGCCCTCACGAACAGCCGCCATCTCCGAGCTGTGAAGGCTCCCATGGCCCGGATCCCCCTGGCCACCGCAGAAGGTGCAGGGGGTCCCTCGGCCGCTCGGCCTAGCCCAGGGCCGAAGCTCTCCGATCCAGAAAGATGGGCAGGGACGGAGTCAGTGGCTCCTGCCCAGGTGCTGCCCACGAGCCCCGGCCCAACTACCTGGGACTCGCACGAGCGGCGGCGACAGCGGTAACACCTTCCG